TGGCTTGCAACTAATGTAGAACCGGCTTAATGTACCCTCCTCTCATATATATATATATATATATATATATATAAATAAAAATATAAATATAAATACAATCTCTAAAATAAAGTTTTGTTTATTACTCTTTCTATTTTACAGTTTTTCTTTTATATATATTTTATATAATTTTATATTAAATACACAATGTATCGCTTATTTATCATATAACACAACTTAAAAAAACAGAGTTTCAGAAAATAAGTTTAAATATTTCAAATCATAAAAATTTTATAATTTTAATTTTGAAATTTTTGTTACAATTAATTGTAGAGAAATAAAAGCATGTACTTATAAAATGTTTTTCTATTTTTTAAATATTCTTGTTCCTTTTTTTGCAAGCAACTAAAATAATGATAATCTTGAATTTTGTTGTACCAAATAAATGATATGTATTTCCTATAAAACACATTAAAAATAACACTATTCAGTTAAGATACCAAGATAAAACAAAGTTACATTATACATGTATCTATGGAACTGTAATTATATAACTAAAATAATCATAATCTACTATTGTGCAAACAATATTACATAGCAGTAAAAAAAGATAAAATGATCTTGGCTAATTTTATAAATAAGAACTGTTACTACAATTTTCATAAAACGTTTTCTATCTGCTATTAATTTCTCCAATTTCCGGAATATGTCAATTTTTTTACTCAAATATAACATTTTAATCTATCAATCTCATGTAAATCACGAAAAAGTTTTAAAAATTTCATTAGCGCAATGTGTCCGGCGAGATCAATCCTTTCCCCGAAAGTAGCAAGAGCCACATACATACGACTGGCAATGTATTTTGCACTTCAAACAGTGCTTCGCACATCGCGGTTCTTATCAAAGGAATTATAGAAAGCAAGCTGTGTGTATCTTGAGCGTGTCTTTTACCTTCGAAAAATGCAAACTCGGGTCACTTCTCATGAGCAGGAAGATGAGAGCAGGCGGACAAGTTAACGAGTGTGCTAGAAACGGAAGAAATGATAAATTTCGGGGACAACGGCGATGACGTTATACGCGAGCCACATCTTCTAGTGGGCCGGAGCGACCAGGAGCGACCAGGAGCGACAGACGCTGGCTGCGTACGCGTCGTCGTTCGTGAGTCCGTCCGCGACGAGGATCCCGTGGCCGGGCCGATCCGGTCCGGTCCGGGTATCCGTGCGCGTGTATCGAAAACGCTATTGCACTTATAATTCACATACCCTATTCAGCAGGATCTCAATATTTTCCGTTCAGCACCATCTCTTACGAATCGTCTCAGTATACAATCAACCGCAAGCATCTCACTATGTATCGTGACACACAGATGGAGCTATTCGCGTTCGATCGGGTAAAGTCACTAGATTTCGAAAGTATCGTATGGTACCGCTAATTCATTTCAGTCATGTCTCGCGTTAAAATGATCGAAGTGCACGTAGCGCACGATTTCAAGCATTGTGATTGGTGGTTCGTCTTTCAAACTGTACTTACTTGTCCCTTCGTGCATTTTCATGCATTAAACTTCTAACAACAATTAAACCTGTATCAAACTAAATAATACATAAATTCAGCATTTATACATATATTTTTTTGATCATAAATAAATTAATTACAATTAAAGAACATTTATTTACATAGTACATGACAGCTTTTATCTATTTTCGAAAATAAAATACGTATATACAAATGCATAAATTTGAAATAGCCGCGTTTCGCGTCAAAATGGATGCTGCGAGTTTGCGGTACTTAAAAAATTTAGTGACTTTATCGATCGGGGGATAGCTCAGCGATGGAAAGATCGCTTCGAGACGACGGATGCGCGACTTTTCGATTCATGCACACAACGCTTCAAAATCATTTCATCCTTGTTGTTTGTTGAATTTTAAACGAAGACACACGATGCTCATGAGCATTTATTGCTGGATTCACCCTGATCCAACGTGCATCATACGACATGTTCCTGGATTCACTCTGCATCCGATTTTCGTCGTACGACGCTCTGCAACCAATCAGAAAACAGGATTCGGATGGATTTTGCTTCATATCATCGGAATCCTGTTTTCTGATTGGTTG